ATGTGAAAATGAGTACTGTGGCATACACTTGGCACACTTTTGGAAGTCCAGTTGTACCTGTTGTTGGCACTTAAGTGGCCCTTTCATCACAGAATCTGAGGACCTTGTGGGCTTCTGTTGCATTGATTCCCATGAGGTCAGGCAGTCCTATTAGTCCTATTCAACCATGGGAAACAGAGGCAGAGAGTAACTGACAAAATAACAATATTGTTGAAGCATTCAGTAGGCATTTCAGCAGTTGAAATGGCCTTCTGCAGTGACGCTATAAACAAGTGCTCCAGCAGCTGCCATCTGATTGATCCCAAATCTTGCCCTCATCTAGGGGCAAGAATTAGGACCATTGGAAATCGAGGCCAAGAGGCTGACCAAGCAGATAGAAGAATGTAATTCTGAGGTGTTGACACTACAGAAGTACTGGCTCAATCTGCAGAAAGAGCTGGTCAAGCTAACCGAGGAACGGGAGGATCAAATAACCTCCTTGGATATGTTAAAGAAACAGATCACAATAATGCAGCAGAAGAAAGTGCGCACTGAAAGTAAGTCATTCCCTAGCTCTTTTTTAAAACATTCATCTATGAATGGAGGAAAAAAAGGGGAGCGAAGGCTTACAGACAGGTTATGTTAATTCTTCACCAAAGAATGCCCTCGGTGTTTGATATATGTGTAAGCAAGAATGCATATGGCCCAAATACTACTCTCTGGGACTAAGAGCCAGGCACCTTCTGCTGTTTTGGTGGTCATTATGTCCTGTCATGATCGATCCTGCTGTCTTAACTGACACAGATGACCTATAAGTGACCTTGTCATCTGTTACATGCCTTTAAATAAGTTTGCAAATAGTGGGTAGGCAAATATTCCCACAAATGATAGCAGTTTCCTTGGCCAAAACCAACTCTTTTTCATAGTGGTAGTCTCTTTCAAAACCTTAATTTGATTTTTGGGCTTTCTGGAAAAATGTTTTGGCTGGGTTTCTGGGACACAGGTGTGCAATGTTACCTGGTCTAACAGCAATTCTGTACAACTTGGTTGTATTCAACCCAGTGCTCTTGGGAATTTAAAATCTTTCTTTTTTTTCTGATCACCTGTAGATGAAATGCAGCAGGAAATAAAAGAGCAGAAAAATATTGAACGTCACATGAAGAGCATGTCAAATGACTTGATAAAGCTGAATGTGTTGATCAACAAGAACAACAGCAGCTTCACAGAGCTACAATATGGCAACATTATCACAGAGAATGAGTTCATACGCTCCCTCAAGGTACAGAGGCTCAACTTCTCATTTCTAGGTCACAGACTCCCAGGCTATTCCATGACTGGGCTTTTGAGAGATTTGTACTGCAGGTAGCCCAGAAGAAAATAGCTTTGTGGTATAAAACAGTATGGCCAAATGGAAATTATATAGTTATTCACACACACACACACAAAAAAAGTGCATTTCTTTATTGCTTAATGACTTTTATTACACAGCAGAAACAGGTCAGGTATGCCATTTGTGGGGTATTAGAGACCGAAAAGGATGTATAGATCAGAGGCAAACGGTGATGCTGTAAGTCTTTCTCAGTCTGACAACTTTGCATTGTTTTATGCTTCCCAAATCTAGGCAGCAGAAAAAGAATCAATTGAGATGCAGGAGAAGCACAGCCGATTGACTGAGGAGAAGGAAAGACTCTTAAACAGCCTGGTGGAAGCAGAGTAGGTACCAGAGTGATTCTTGCTTTATGCCACAGTCTTAGCTCTTTTGGCTATATACACCCATGTTACCTTTTTTCTCTACTCACCAAACTTAGCCAGCACCAGCAAATGCACTTCTGTCCTTCTTGGAGAAGATTAAAGGAGGTTAATGAATTTTTGGAATGCAGAAGCTGAAAAGTGGTTTAGCTATCTCTGGAACCAGCAAGAGACAAGATGATACTGGTTTTAATGATTCCAGCATACTTGCTTGTGCTGAATGTCATCGAGACCTGTATGGGAAGACTGCGTATGCTATCTCCCCTGCCAGTAACCCAGAGCAAGCGTGCTGTACTGGGCAATTAATCGAGTCCTATCAGTCTAGGCTTGCTTGCTTTCAGTCGTCATGCCATTTCTCGTGAAGCTTCCTGTATGAATCGTGAAGCTTCCTGTATGACTTCATGCTGTTCTGTTGCTGCCTCTTTACATGTCCTGTATGCAAACTTCTAGTTTCTGTCAAACCATTCAGTTTTGTGTTCAGAATCAGCCTCAGGAGAGTGGTGCCATTGACACACAGAGAGAATGTTCTTTGTTTATGGAGGCACTCCTTTCCTTTTCTGTCACTGAAGGCATCAAATCATGCTATGGGAGAAAAAGATCCAGCTGACAAAAGAGATGCGTTCAGCAGTGGATTCTGAGACAGGACAAGGTGAAATCCGAGCCATGAGAGCAGAGATTCACAGAATGCAAGTAAGTCACTGAGAAAGAGGACCGAGGAGGGGGAACTGCACACAATGTATTTACCTTTGGAGTTGATGAAACATAAGGCAAGGAGATGAGAAACAGGATGGAGAAGTAGCATCTTCAAGGCCGTAACAGTACTAGAAATTGTATCACCCTGCAGCTAGATTGAATTGAATACGTTCAGCATGTATGCACTTTATGCATTTCTTATGCAAGCTATGTAATATGCTGCAGCACATTAAGATATACCTGAGGAATTTTTTAAATGCAGTATGTCTACCACCTTATTTTGTGACCCCAATTTGTAAGGAAATAAATATGGATTACTAAATACTGCATCATCTTAATCACTGGCTATAGAAGTCTTCTATCTTCTGGCAATGCAGCTCTTTGCTTTCGTTCTCAGGATATTTCTGCTCTTCTGCTTTTGCTATTGTTAATGAGTTCCAGTGAAATATTTTGAAGATTACTTTCAACAAGTTGATACACAGTTGATGACTAATCCTATCCTCTGCCTTCCAGATCCACGTAGGGCAAACTACATTTAGATTCAGAACAAATTTGGCAGACAAAAGGTCATGTGTCACACACATCTGATTTATGTTGGTGGGACGTGCCACACAGAAGACTTCAATTAGGGGCCATTTGTAACCATTTGTTATTTTCAAACTGTTTTTTATTTTGACAAACGGCAGGTCCGCTATGGCCAGCTGATGAAGCAGCAGGAGAAGATGATTCGTGATATGGAGGCATCTGTTTCTCGTAGAGAGGCCATAGCAATTCGTGGAGAAGGTCAGAACAAAACAGATAAGAAACATTTCACCAAGAGTGATTTCCAGCGCAAGAAACAGGAGCTGAGAAAGAAGATCACTGAAACCCAGAAGGTGAGCAAGTAAAGCAGGGCCATGAGAGTTGCTGTGGCCATCATTTGCCTTGTAATTAGCACCAGTGTGCACTTAGCACAGATGCATGGGATGTCAATATGCAGACCCTGCACTGTGTAGGTATGGCACTGCACAGTGGGCAGGCTTTGGAAACCGTTAAATACCAAAAAATAGCTCTGGGAAGATAGCCCACTCGCTGGCAGGGCAGCATGAGAAGCAGAAAAAGTCCTTCACTCAGTGGAAGTGCTGCTCAGCAACAACTAAAACATTGGTATGTTATCAACAGTTATTTTCATCCTAAATCCAAAACATAGCACCCTACCAGCTCCGGTGAAGGAAAGTAACACTATCCCAGCCAAAACTAGGACACTGGGAATGCAGCTGAACAAAAGAGACAGAATCTCACGTTTCCTTCTCTTCCATTTACTAGAACGCTCAAGACTGTAACAAAATTGTCCTGGAGCTGGAAAGCACCCAAGCTTCCCTTAGTGCCACCTGCTTGGAAAAGCAACAAGAAATGTGCACACTGCAGACTGAGTCTGACAGCCTTGATTCAGACACAGAATATCTTCGGAACATGAAACGATGGGTGAGTATGTCCTACTTCCCTGCAGTGTGCGAGTGAGTTAGAACCTGCTACTTTCTCCTCTTGCCAGCTCCCTTGTCTCACTACTATCTTGAACTGGGAACACTTGGCATGTGATTGTAGCAGCAGTTCGAGTTAACTGAGCACATTTTGATGGCTGAAGTGGAACTGAATTGATGCTGCAGTTTCATTCTTAGTGAGGCAGCATTCACCTGGAAACATCAGCCTGCAGAATCTTACTTGAAAACACTGAGTAGAAACTGTCCTTTGTGAGGACCAGCTGGTTATTGTGAGGACATTACAAATTTGAGAGCCAGCTCATGGCCTTCAGTAACCTTCTATGAAATTTTAAGTTTAAATTTTAAAATTTAAATTTTAACCGGTTTGTCCTGGCCAGGGTTGCCTTGTATGCATGTTTTTTTCTCTAACTTATGGAATGCTGTGACACAAGTGTGTATCCATGGAACTTCATCAAACTCTTCCTTAAGAACCCCTTCTTTTTCAAACTATGGTTACAGTACCTCTGTGCAATGAATGGTGTTGTTTACTTAGTTCTTTTCTGTGTGCAATCTGCTATCAGAGTAATTTCCGTTACTGCTTTACTCAGAACCTTTTGGAGCTTGTGTCCTATCAGACGCGCCAGAAGCAGCTGCAGGCAGTGAAGGAGGGGAAGTACACACCCCTGTGCAGTACTGAACAAGCCTGGAGAAATGAGCAGCAGAAGCTGCAGGAGCGGATTCATGCTATTTGTGGCATCAGTCCACCAGGTCCAGCAAGAACAGCCTCAGTACCACCGGGCTCTCCAGTGGCTCAGACAGTGTTTGGAATCCAGGCTCGGTTCCCAGGAAGCGTGTTAGAGACACAGGAAACCACCTGTGAATAAATATAACCAACTGCTCTCCCTCTTCTAGCACTGGCATTTGTAAATAAATGGAATAAACCTGCGTAAGCTATAAATCTGCATTAAATACTGAAGCAGTAGTGCTGCACAGACTATTGCAACACCTTTGTCTCTTTCACTTCCTTGTAGTCGCTGTGAACTCGTCAGTTTCCCGGGACGGGCAGGAGGGGAGCAGCGGCCCCTTTCTCCCCCCCGTCTCCCCCCGGCAGAGGAGCACAGCCGCGGAACCGCGCTGACCCGGCGGAGGCTCCGGGAGGGAGGCAGCGGAGCCCGGAAAGGGCCCGGCAGAGCCGGGGCGGTGCGCGGGGGCCGGGCTGCGGCTCCCTCCCCGCCGCGCCTGCTCGGAGCCGGGCTGGGGGGAGCCATGCCGGGGCCGGGGCCGCGGATCGGGGCCGTGATCGCGGTGCTGGCGCTGCTGCTCCCCGGTGCCTGCAGCTCCGCGGCCGCCGGCTGCGAGGTGCCCCCGAGCCACCGCTTCGACTGCGGCCCCGAGCGGCTGCTGGCACGGGCGGGCTGCGAGGCGCGGGGCTGCTGCTACGCCCCCGTCCCCTCCGGTGCCGGCGGGGGTCCGCCCTGGTGCTTCTTCCCCCGCGGCTACCGCAGCTACCGGGCGGAGAACCTGACGACCACCGCCCGCGGCTACTCGGCTCGGCTCCGCCGCGTCGCCCCCAGCTTCCTCCCGGGGGACGTGGGCACCCTGCGGCTGGACGTGGCGCTGGAGACCGAGAGCCGCCTGCGCTTCACGGTGCGCCCGGGTCCCCTCCCGGCTGTGCCCCCCCCAAAGCTCCCCGACCCCGGCTTGAGCCCCTGTCCCCCTCCCCTGCAGCTCCGGGACCCGGCCCGGCAGCGCTACGAGGTGCCCCTGACCACGCCGCAGGGTGAGCACCCGGGCGGCCTCCACGCTCTACGGGGTGCAGGTCCTCGAGGATCCCTTCGGCCTCGTCGTCTCCCGGTGGCCCGGCGGCCAGGTCCTGTAAGTGATGTCCAGCACCGAGCGGGGCCGAAGGCTCCCTGTACCACCCCGCTGCGCCCCACGGGACCCCGCAGCAGCAGTGGGGTCTCTGCCCCGAGCTTTGCCGTAAGCACGGCTCAGCAGCAGGCATTAGGGAAGCAGCAATCCCAGGGCTCAGCCGAAGTCTGGTTCTGTTTCATGCTGTGACCGCAGCGCCTGGTTATGAGCGCTCACAGCCCACCAGGAGCTGGAGGGTCTCCGGCTCCTCCAGCCCCCACGCCAGGGCTGTTGGCAGCGGCCCCGTTTCTCCCCGGCAGGCTGAACACCACCGTCGCGCCCCTGTTCTTCGCGGACCAGTTCCTGCAGATCTCCACCTCCTTGCCCTCCCGTTTCATCTCGGGGCTGGGGGAGCACCTGGCACCGCTCATTCTCGACACGGCCTGGACCAAGGTCACCCTCTGGAACCGGGACATGGCGCCGGTGGTACGGACGGGGCTGGGGGGAGGGAGGTGTTGGGGGGCTCCACAGTACCAGGGGCTGAGCCCCCAGGGGAAGGGGTCCGGCCCAGCAGCCTGGGGCAGAGCTGTGTGGCCTGGGCAGCATTTGGGTTCACACCCTGAGCTGAGCAGTGGCGAGGGGCAGGTGGGTGTAGTGGGTAAAACACCACAGCGGGCACCGTGCTGGGGTCTCGGCTGAGCCCCACCGGCACCACGCTGTGCTCTGCTCCAGCCCCAGGTCAACCTGTACGGCTCCCACCCCTTCTACCTGGTGATAGAGGACGGCGGCTCGGCCCACGGTGTCTTCCTGCTGAACAGCAACGCCATGGGTGAGTGCTGTGGAGGCACCGGGGCACGGGGCTGGACCGAGGCCCGATCCTCACCTCGCTCCTCCGGTGCTCGCGCCTCCCCCAGACGTGGTCCTGCAGCCGAGCCCGGCCCTGACGTGGCGCACAACGGGCGGGATTCTGGACTTCTACGTCTTCCTGGGCCCCGACCCCAAGAGCGTGGTGCGGCAGTACCTGGACGTCGTGGGTAGGGGTCTGCAGCAGGACCTGGGGTGCGGGCGCTCCTGGGGTGCCAGGTGCTGCTGGCAAGGAGCGGGTGCTGTGGCATGAATCTGGGAGGATGGGTAGATGCAGATTGCAATCCCCCCTCTCCCCAGAAGACCCCCGGCCCCCTTGCAGCACCACGGCTGTGAGTGGGGCAGAGCGAAGCCGCCCTCCCTCCTGACTTGCAGGGTTCCCATTCATGCCCCCGTACTGGGGCCTGGGCTTCCACCTCTGCCGCTGGGGCTACTCCTCCACCACCACCACCCGGCAGGCCGCAGCCAACATGTCGGCCGCACGCTTCCCCCTGGTAGGTGGCGACCAGGGCCTGGTGAGCCCGGTGGGGGCGGATGGTGGGTGCAGGGCGGCACCTGTCCCCGTTTTTGGGGCACAGCGGTGTGCCAGAGGCCGTCTCCTTCCTGAGCGCTGCCGCCGGCTCTGCAGGACGTGCAGTGGAACGACCTGGACTACATGGATGCTAAGAGGGATTTCACCTTCAACAAGGAGACCTTTAAGGACTACCCGGACATGGTGCGGGATTTCCACCAGCGAGGCCTGCACTACGTGATGATCGTGGTGAGCAATGCCTCCAGTCTGCCCCAGGGTGGTGACAGCTCCGGCTGGGTCCTGGGCTTCACCCGCAGGCCGTGTCCTCGGGCTGTGTCCTCGCCCTTTGCTGCCCCAGGGTTTTGCAGGATTTCTGGCAGGCAACCAGCAGGAACAGGGCTGGGCACACAGGATGCTGTTCCCTGTCCTTGCCGGTGAAACCCCAGCTTTGTGCCCCGGCAGGACCCCGGGATCAGCAGCTCGGGGCCTCCAGGCACCTACAAGCCCTACGATGACGGACTGAAGCGAGGGGTGTTCATCCGAAATGCCACGGGGCAGCCCCTCATCGGGAAGGTGCGTGGTGCCATCGGCCCCTGTCCCTGTGGCTGGGGGCTTCGGGTCAGTGGGGCAGCGGCTGCAAGGGGGAGAGGAACACGCAGGGGCTGCTGGAAAGCGGGTGGAGGGGACAGGGACGGGGACAGGGACAGGGACGGGGGTGGCGTGGCTCTGCCCAGCGCTGCCTCCCTCCTGCAGGTGTGGCCGGGCCCGACGGCTTTCCCAGACTTCACCAACCCCAAGACGCACGAGTGGTGGCACGACATGCTGAAGGACTTCCACGACCAGGTGCCCTTCGATGGCATGTGGATTGTGAGTGGCCTTTCCCCCGCCGGCAGAGCTCTGGGGTGCAGCTCCCAGCTCCTTCCCCGCCCCTCTGCTGGGTCCCCCCCAGAATCGAGGGCTCCCCTTCTCCCCAGGACATGAACGAGCCGTCCAACTTCGTGGAGGGCTCCCAGGACGGCTGCCCCGACAACAGCCTGGAGAAGCCCCCGTACGTGCCCGGTGAGCGGGGCTGGGGGCGCGGAGGATGCTGCAGCGGGTGAGGCTCTGCCCGGCTGCCCCGAGCTTGCCCTCGCCGCCTCCTCTCCCCTGCAGGTGTGTTCGGGGGGCGCCTCCAGGCAGGAACCATTTGTGCCTCCAGCCAGCAGTTCCTCTCCTCGCACTACAACCTGCACAGCCTGTACGGGCTGACCGAGGCCATCGCTTCCCACGAGTAAGCCTGGGCTCCTGCTGCAGCTCCTGCAGGAAAGCTTCCCCCTGACAGGAGGCAGCCCCAGGAGCCCCGAGGAGCCCAGCAGCTCCCGTTGGTAGCGCAGCGTGCTTTGTGCTGCTGCTGGGAGCCCCTTCCACAGCCGGGCTGAGCCACCTCCTCCCCGCAGCGCTCTGCTGAGGATCCAGGGCAAGCGTCCCTTCGTCATCTCACGCTCCACCTTCGCTGGGCACGGCCGCTACGCTGGGCACTGGACGGGGGACGTCAAGAGCAACTGGGAGCAGCTGTCCTACTCCGTGCCAGGTAGGCTGTGGGGCTGCATCCAGCCCCTGCTCCCTTCGGGGCTTCTCTGGGGGCTGGCCCAGCACCGCCGAGCCCCCGTTCCCTCCGTGTCCCCTCCGCAGAGGTGCTGCTCTTCAACCTCTTCGGGGTGCCGCTGGTGGGTGCCGACATCTGCGGGTTTTTGGGCGACACATCCGAGGAGCTGTGTGTGCGCTGGACCCAGCTGGGCGCCTTCTACCCCTTCATGAGGAACCACAACGACCACGGCAACCGGGTGAGCGCGGGGCTGGGAGCCCTCGCCCTGGTGGGCACCGCGCTGGGTGGGCTGGGGGCGGCTCTGAGCCCGGGGCTGCGCCGTGCTCATGGGGCCAGGCGCTCACCGACCATCCCCGTGCTGCCTGAGCATCCTGCTTTGCCTTCTCCCCCGCAGCCGCAGGAGCCGTACGCCTTCAGCCCGGCTGCCCAGGATGCCATGAGGAAAGCCCTCCGCCTCCGCTACTCCCTCCTGCCCTACCTCTACACCCTCTTCCACCGGGCTCACGCCGCTGGGGAGACGGTGGCGCGGCCGCTCTTCCTCGAGTGAGTGCTGCCACGGGGGCGGGCAGGGGGGCGATGCTCTGGGGCTGCACTGCCGCCCGCCGTCCCTCCCCAGGTTCCCCAAAGACCCCAACACCTGGACCGTGGACCGCCAGCTCCTGTGGGGCGGGGGGCTGCTCGTCACGCCGGTGCTGGAGGCAGGACAGACCAAAGTCAGTGGCTACTTCCCAGCCGGGACGTGGTACAGCCTCGCAGGGGTAGGTGCTGCCACTGGGCTCCTGGGAGCGGCCACCCCGCTCCTCCATCCCATCCCTCCCGGGTAGTGGGCCCATTGGGCTTTCCCCAAATCAGCTTTGAGGACTTCTGCCTCCTGTGAGGCTTCACTTGTCCTAGGGTGAGGGCTGCAGTGCTCAGCTGGGATCCCCCATGGGCGTGCTGACCCCTGAGACCTGTCCTTTCTTTTTTTCTTTAGGACTCGACCATCCACAGCAAAGGCCAGTGGATCCTCTTGCCAGCTCCCCTGGACACCATTAACGTGCACGTCCGAGCAGGGCACATCCTGCCCCTGCAGGTGAGTCCCCCCCGCTGGCAGCCTGACCCCGTGCGTGCCCGGCCGAGCTGCGGGTGTTCAGCCAGGCCTGGGGGCACAGCAGGGGGGTTGCAGTGTCTGATCCTGCACCCCCCGTGCCCCCAGGAGCCTGCGTTCAGCACTGCCGAGTCCCGCAAGAAGGGGATGGCCTTGGTGGTGGCCCTGACGCCGGACGGCTTCGCCCGGGGAGAGCTGTTCTGGGATGATGGGGAGAGCTGGCAGAGCTTCGAGAAGGGGGACTACACCGAGACCCTCTTCCTGGCCTCACACGTGAGCGTGGCAGGGGGCTTGGTGGGAGGCGTTTGGGCACGGCTCTGCAGCCACCTGCAGCTGCTGTCCCCTGGGGCACACGCGGTGCTGGGCAGCCCCCTGCCCTGCTGCTGCAAGCACCCAGCATGGCGAAATAACCAGAATGAGCCCCGGCCTCGCAGGAACCGAGGTCCCTGTGGGCTGCTCCTGGCGTGTTTAGGGCATGGGGCAGTGGCAGGCGCTTGGAGAAGCCCTGGGGCCTGGTGGCACAGGGTGACCGTCCCCGCTGTCCCCACAGGGCGCCGTGCTCAGCCAGATCCTGCGGACTCGCGGCCACCTTGACGGGATCCTGCTGGAGGCTGTGACCGTCCTGGGGGTCACCAGCCCTCCCCGGCAGGTCCTGGCCAACGGTGCCCGTGTGGATGACTTCTCCTACCGCAGTGACACCCAGGTGAGCGCGGGGGCTGCCCGCGAGTGGCTCTGAGCCTGCATGAGAGGGTGGCTGGGGGGCTGGCAGGGTTTGGCCCCAGTGATGGTACCAGCTCTGCTTTGTTTGCACCGAGGAGTAAAGGGCTGCCCAGTGAGGCTGGGTCACCTGCCCTTGCAGGATTCAGCCGTGCAAGGGGATGAGCATGGGGAAAAATTGGGCAGAGAGGATGGGGTGTGTGGTGATGGGACCAGAGCTCTGCAGGGAGCCCTCCCTGGGGAGCACCCGGGCAGTGGGAGGCGTGGGGGCTGCCCTCCCGACCACTGACCCTTCCTTTGCCTCCTCAGGTGCTGAGAGTCCCCGTGTCGCTGCCGATGTGGGAGCAGTTTGTGATCACTTGGTCCTGAGCTGGTGACCATCTCCACAAGCAGCTGGTGCTGCTGTGCCCTGTGGCCAGATCCATCCATTTCTTTGGAAAATCAGCACAGAATGCGGCTGTGCTGTGAGCTGGGCTGTCCTGCGTGCTGAAATGCCTTACCTTGAGGTGTAGAAACTGGACTCGCACTGGTCAGCTCAAAAAACCCTTAAGGGATGGGGAGCAACCCTCATCTCCTTCAAGACGGGAAAAAAAGACCCAAGTGCCTTGTGAGACAGCAAACCTGTCAGCGTGCCAAACTGGCACCCTGCCGAAAGCCTGTGGGGATTCTTCTTGTGGTTTTGGGATGGACACAGGAGAGATGAGTCCCTTCTGCGCACTGGGCTCTGCTGTTTGGTGTCTGCGGGGGGGTTTCATACCCAGGGGGTGTGGGTGGGGGGAGCCCCTCGTGGCTGCGCCCCGGGGAAGCCTGGAGCTGCCTCTGTGAGGGCTGGGAGCAGGGCTGGGGGAGAAGTGCTGTGAATAAAAAGCAGCTTTTTGCTACAAGCAGATGGTGTTGCTGCAGTCCTGTTGCTTCAGGACACACGGCATCTGTGCCATTCTCTGCCAGCCTCAGACCTGTCCTAAAATCAGTGCTGGCCTCTGGCTCAGCCCTCGCCTCAGCTGGGTGCCTGGCGTGGCCACCCCAGAGCTGAGGCCACGTCCCCAGGCCCCTGCACGCCCCCAGTTCTGGGTCACTGCGGTGTGCCAGCCCCTGGGCGAGCGCACCAAGGAGACTCTGTAGGCTCTGTGTGTTTTGCCAAATTAAACCCTGCCACTTGGGTGTGCTCACTGGGACCTGCTGGCCTGTTTCCCCAGAGAGCAGCGGGCACACAGCTCTCCAGAAGGGTTCACAGAGACTGCAGCGCTGAGAGCTGCAGCAGGGGAAGGGTGCTGGCAGGCACGTGCTGAACTCCAGGTACAAACGGAGACCTCCTCCAGAGGCTTTATTGAGGAGCAATTTGGCTTCACAGCTTCTCTGGCTGAGAGTAAAGCCATGAGGATCCCTTAATGCTCCGGGGACAGGCACTGTGTGATGCACAAAGCGCAGCGAGGTCGGTCCCTGGGCAGCACTGGGCTGCACGGGGTGCTCACAGCTCATTGTGCAGCGGCTGGCACCGCGGGCTCAGCTTCTCCTCCAGCACAGCATCGGGGGCGCACACCCAGGGGTCCCCGGTGTCCCACTGCCACTTGAGTAGCTGCGTGCGAAGCATCTGGAAGACGGCAGCGTACCGGGGATCGGGGGCCAGGTTGTGGCTCTCGGTGGGGTCCTGGCTGTGGTCAAAGAGCTCCCAGCGGTCCCTGTAGTAGTACTGGTGCAGCGTCTTGTTCCAGTGGGTGGGCTGCCCGGCCCTCGTGCGGCTGAGCAGGTCTTGGAAAGTGGGCGAGACGTAGAAGTCTTGGTCGATGGGAAAGGGCATCTTGTAGTTGAGGTTGTGGATGAGGCGGAACTGGTGGTGCTGGATGGCCCGCATGGGGTAGTACATGGTCACCTCGTGGTGGCTCTGGCTGCTGAAGGTGGTGGCCCAGGGCTGCTCCCTCTCCAGTGCCGGCAGGAGAGATTTCCCTGTGAGCTGCACCCGCTTCGAGCCAAATATGCTGTAGGAAGGGTAGGGGATGGAGAACCAGTCCAGAATGGTTGGCGTGACATCTGGAGGGGAAGAGAAGAGTGAGAGGAGGGCAGAGCGGGGAATTGGCCATGCCCCTTGGACACAGCCCTGCTCCCTGCCCAAGGGCTCTTACCCAGGAGGCTGGCAAAGGCCGAGCTGACCTGGCCCCAGCGCTGGGTGTGCTCCGGGGAGGAGAGCAGCAAGGGCTCGGCCGTGCCCGACCGGTAGAGGTTGGTCCTGCCGCTGGGGAAGGGGATGCCGTTGTCAGGAGGTGTAGATCACCAGCGTGCTGTTGAGGAAGCCAGCGCGCCGCAGCTCCTCCAGGACCAGCCCGATCCCTGCGGATGGCAGAGCAGAGCTGGGCGGCTGCGGGAGGGCCCTCTGTGTGCACTGGGTGCCAGCCCAATTTCGGCAGCTCCTACCTTGGTCCATGCGCCCGATGGTCGTGTACTGGGCTGCCAGGTCTGCCCGGGCAGCCGGCGTGTCTGGAACAAAGGGAGGGACCTACGTGGAAAAAGGGGAAGTGGCACATGGTGACCCTGGGGGGGGATGTCACAGGCACGCCAGGCAGCCTTTGTCCATGACGTTGATGCTGACAGCAGTGATGGAGGTTTGTGCAGCCCCCAGGGACCCCCCCCACGGCCCCCTGCAGCCCCACAGGCTCCCACCTGCACTTCCTCCGGGCGGTAGAGCTGTGGCTTCCAGTCGGGGATCCGGCCCATGCCACTCTCTCCATTGCCGAATTTCTCACAGAAGGCCCCATATTGGGGCTGGGAGTGCCCGCAGCGGTGGGGGTCGTGGAAGGCAACGTAAAGGAAGAAAGGCCTGGGGATCAGGGGGAGGTGGAGGGGGAGTAACTGAGGGGCTGCCCTTGCCCCCTCCAGATTATCCCTGGTCAGAGACACCCCCTGTGTCCCCTGGCAGGGTGCTCGGGGCCCCGTGGTGGCTCAGCCCCATCCCAGGGACACACGGCCCGTCTCACCTCGTGTCCTGGCTCTGGAGGAAGCGCCGGACGAGCTGTTTGATTCGGGTGATGTTCCTCCCCACCTGCAGGACCGAACTGTTCTCCTCCGTGTAGGCGAAGTCAAAGGGGTAGACGGCCCCAGGCCCAACGTGCTTCTTCCCAATTATCCCTGCGGGGACGCAGCCACGCGGTGTGCCAGGAGCACCCGGCCAGCAGCACCGAGCAGGGGCAGGGGCCCAACTGGTGCTGTGCAACCCATGGGTGGATCTTTCGCCTGGTGGGCACTGTGGCACGGAGGGGAGGTTTCCCTTCCCATTTCACCAGCCCAGGGGCTCCGTACCCGTGCGGACGTTTGCCTGGCTGAGCAGCTGGGGCAGGCTCCGCACACCATCGAAGGAGTTGAAGTGGTGCACGTCCTGGTGCAGCCCGTACATCCCATTCTGGTGCTGCAGACGGGGGGAAGACCACAGAGCTGGGCGATGCCAGCCCCGGAGCACCCAGCCGTGCCCGGACCGTGGCTGCGGTGCGGGGAGCGGGTTTGGGATAGGGGTGTGGGGGGGGGCGGCTGGGGTGCGCCCACCTGGGGCAGCCCGGTGAGGATGCTGGCCCGGCTGGGGGAGCAGCTGCTGACGGCGGTGAAGGCGTTTTGGAAGAGGAGGCTGCGGCGAGCCAGCGCGTCCAGGGCGGGCGTGCGGATGGCAGAGTTGTTGTAGGCGCCGCTCTCGAAGCCGCCGTCGTCCGCTGCGGGGAAGGGGCGCGGGGTGAGCGGGGACCGGGGCGCGGGGGCCCGGGGGGGCTGCGGGGTCGGGGGGGAAGGATCGGGAGGGGGAGGTTCGGGGGGGGTCCGAGCTCACCCAGCAGCAGCAGCGCGTTGCGGGCGGGGGCTGCGCCGAGCCGGAGCGCGCCCAGCAGCAGCGGCAGCGCCCAGGGCCGCATGGCACCGGCCCCGGTAGCTGCCCCGGCAGCGGCCCCGGTAGCGGCGGGGCTCGGCGGCCCCGGCTCCTCCTCTGCCCGTCACATGAGGCTGCCCGGGCGGCTCAGATCCGGCCCGGGAGGGGCCCTCCCGGATGCACCGGGAGCTGCCGGCAGCGCGCAGGGAGCGGGGATCGCCCGGGGTCCCGCACGGCCCCGCACGGCCCCGCGGGCTGCTCTGCCCCCGGGACCGGGAGCCTGGGGACGGCGGTACCGGACGGGCCCCCCCGGGATGCCGCCAGCCCCCCGCCGAGCCCGGCCGGGGCCGCTCCTGCCCTGAGCCATGTGGGCGCGGGGGCCCCCCGAGCCCCGGCGGCGCTGCTGGCTCCGGGCTCTGCGGAGGCGGCTGCCGGTGCTGGGCTGGCTGCCCCGCTACTCGCCGGGCTGGCTGCAGCTCGACCTGATCGCCGGTGTCACCGTGGGCATCACGGTGGTGCCGCAGGCGCTGGCGTACGCCGAGGTGGCCGGGCTGCCCCCGCAGGTGGGTGGCCGAGCCCCGGGTGCGCAGCCACCGGGGGCTGGGGGGTGCCAGGGGCAGCCCCACGCGTGGGGAGATGCCGCATGTGCATGGGCTGGGGGCAGCTCAGGCCGTGCTCCCAGCACCGTGCCGAGCGCCTTTGTCCCCGTGCAGTACGGCCTCTACTCCTCCTTCGTGGGCTGCTTTGTCTACTGCTTCCTGGGCACCGCCAAGGACGTGACGCTGGGTCCCACGGCCATCATGTCGCTGCTCGTCTCCTCTTACGCCTTCCACGACCCTGTCTATGCCGTGCTGCTCGCCTTCCTGACTGGCTGCATCCAGCTGGCCATGGGGCTCCTGCACCTCGGTGAGATGCTGCTGCTGCTGCACGCCGTCATGTTTTGGGGATGCGCCCTGGAGTTGTTCCCTGCTCTGTGCTCTCTGAGATGCTGGGGTTGTCCTGCTAACGTTTGTGACAGCTCTGTGTGTGTGCAACCCCCCCGCGGTCCCCAGCAGGGCCAGCAGCGTACTTACTGCCCCTCGTCCTGTGCAGGCTTCCTGCTGGACTTCATCTCCTGCCCGGTCATAAAAGGCTTTACATCGGCTGCGTCCATCACCATTAGCTTCAACCAGGTCAAGGTAGGGGCTGCGGATCTGCTCCACACTCCTTGCATGCTCTCTCCTGGAGCTGGCTGAGCTGTGGAGCCGAGGTGCTTAGCGATGGGCTGGGAGCGAGGGGAAGGAGCCATGAAGGGGACAGGGTCTCCCTGCCAGCCCTGGTGAGCCCCAGCCCCAAGCGCTCTGCTCGGAGCAGACCAAGCTGAACACGGCCTCCTCCTGCGACCAGCAAGGGGTGAGAGCTGGTGGCCATGGGGACAGTGGTGAAACCGTGGCAGGGGGTTGATGTGGCTGCTGGCAGGAGGTGCTGGGCGAGCGGGATGGGAGCTGTGATGGGCTCGCAGCTCTGCTGAGCCCTCCCTGGCCTCCAGTGCCTGCAGCACTCTGGCTCTTCTGGAGCTGCAATGCTTCCTTTGTGGTTAACCTAAATCAGACAGACTCAGGGCGATGTGTGAGAAACCAGAGGCCTGGCGTTGGCTGAGGTCTGTGGTCGCAGCCAGGACCTCGCTGGAGCTCCCTCCCGGCCGGGTGCATGCTCGGGGGGGCAGGACAAGCTGAGGCGTCTCAGGGAGCTGGGAGAAAATCAGAGCATCGCTGGGGTCTGCCCACCCGGAGCTGCACCAGGGGATGGCTGTCCCCATGTGTGCATGGGAACTCGGGGGGGTCACTGCGAGCCGTCCCAGCACCAGCACTGCAGGGCTCTCACGAGGCTTTGTCTCCCCGCACAGAACATCCTGGGGCTGCACGGGATCCCTCGGCAGTTTTTCCTGCAGGTGTATGAAACGCTGAGGAGGATTGGGGAGACCAGGTCAGCATTGGCCCAGTGCCTTCCCTGCTCCATGCCCCCTGCAGCTGCAGGCTCTCGGGCTCCGATGCTTCGCAGCACATCTCTGGGCACACTTGGACTGGTGTCTCAGTCCCTGCCCAGCACTGTGACATGAGAACCCGTCCTCTGCCTTTTCGGTTTGTTCTGGGAATTCAAAGTCTCAAAGCGCTTGGGCTCCCAAGTGGCTGGAGGAGAAGGATGGGGCAGACTTGTCCTTCTGCTCCCAGTTAGCTAAATCAGGATTTTTACAGCCCAAAGGCACATCCTTGGGACTGTCTGTGTGGCACAAGCCCTCTTCCAGTTTTTGGCAGTCCAAGGGCAGCCCGGGTACCCTGCAAGGGGAGCATCGGGAGCGAGGTGACGCATTTTGCTGGTGGTACAGGCAGCGTCCTTGCAAGGGGCTGCCACTGACGTTGCTGTTGCAGGCCTGGGGATGCCATCCTGGGGCTGGTCTGCCTGGCAGCGCTCGCAGGGCTGCGGGCGATGAAGAGCCGCCTGCCCCCCGCCAGCCACACGGAGCCGCTGGCCACCAGGGCCAGCTACCTGATCGTCTGGACCTGTGCCACCGGTGCGTTGGCCTCTGTCCCCTGCCTTCTCTGGGCAGCCTCTCCTGCGGCCTCAGCCTCCTCTGGGGCTGGGGAGGTCAAAGCCTCCTGGGGGGGGGTCCTGCCACCCTGCCTGCCCCTTCCTAAGGCTGGATGACCTCGCTGCCCGGGTACCCACCCGCTCCATGCTCGCCCACCGCCCCAGGCTCCTGGCACGTTGTCAGGGTTGTTCTCTCCGCTGCAGCACGCAACGCCCTCGTGGTCCTGTTTGCTGGCCTGGTGGCTTACTGCTTCCAGCTCAGGGGCTCCCAGCCGCTGACGCTCACCGGCAGCATCCCCCAAGGCCTCCCCCCCTGCCGGCTGCCGCCCTTCTCCAAGGCTGAGCCCAACGGCACCGTGCCCTTCGGGACGATGGTGGAGGTGGGTGCCAGGCTGGCTGGGCGATGCTGGCCTCCCCAGGGCTGCTTCCTCGGTGCTCAGCATCCCTGTAAATACCCGAGTGCCCTGGGGAAGGGGCAGCCCCTCCACCTGTGTTGGCCCAGGAGGGGGCTGCGGTGCGGGTCCTGTCCCGCTGCTACAGCGCTTGCTGTCCTCCCCTCCAGGACATGGGAGTCGGGCTGGCTGTGGTCCCGCTCATGGGCCTGGTGGAGACCGTTGCGATTGCCAAGGCTTTCGGTACAGCTCCTGCAATTCTGCTGGAGGGAGGGGGGGGGGGATGCAAGGGGCTGGAGGGGCTGGGGGCATTGCTCTTCCCATGGGGGCAGCGGTGGAGGGGGGCAGGAGGGTCCCTGCGTCGGACATGGCCAGGGTTTGGGCAGGAGCTGAGCGCTGTCCCAGGGCTGCTGCACCCTTGGGTGCCAGATGGGGCCCCATTTTTGCCCCCGGTGCTGCCCCCGCTCCGTGTTCATGGTGGGCTGAGCCTGCAGGAGGCACTGGGTGATGCTGCGCCTCTTCTTCCAGCCTCGCAGAACGACTACAGGATCGACCCCAATCAGGAGCTGCTGGCCATGGGTAAGAGGCCGCTCGGAGCAGCAGGGCAGGGGGTGGGGATCCGGCCCCAGCACCGCGGTGTCCTGCAGCCCTTCCTGCTGGGTGCCACAGAACAGCCCTGGGAGCTGTCCCCGCTCCCCATTTCCCACGTGGGATGGAGGTGGCAGCAGTGACACATTTGGTCTCGCGGCCCTGAGTGGTGCCTCCTGGAGCTGCCGCATCCCCAGCGCCTCCTTTTCCCCACTGCAGGCTTTGCCAACGTCCTGGGCTCCTTCTTCTCATCGTATCCCGTCACGGGAAGCTTTGGCCGGTGGGTAGCAGGCTGGGGAGCGGGGCCTGGCCTGCGAGATGCTCGTGGGGCTGTGCCATCAGGGGGGCTGCACGAGACCTCGTGCTAAGGGTGGCAAGGGCCCGGTGGGTCCTGGAGGCTGCGTCCTGGTCCCCAGCTCCTTGCACTGGACCTGGGCCATGCTCATGTGGCCGCTTCCCTCCTGCCACCCGTGCACCGCAGTCCCTGGGGTCTGTGGGCAGCAGAGGGGACAGCGTGCCCACCTTGTGTTCCAGGACAGCAGTGAACGCACAGACGGGCGTCTGCACCCCGGCGGGGGGGCTGGTCACAGGTAGGGCTGTGCCTCCTCTCCCCCCAGCCCCAGTGCCTGCTCCCGGCCTCGGTGACCCCCCCCCGTACTCGGGGTCCCCCCGGTTCAGGCGCTGCCGCCCTCCCGCAGGCGCCCTGGTGCTGCTCTCGCTGGCGTACCTCACCTCGCTCTTCTACTACATCCCCAAAGCGGCGCTGGCTGCCGTCATCATCTCTGCCGTGGTCCCCATGTTCGACGCTGGGATCTTCAGGACGCTCTGGAGGGTTAAGAGTGAGGGCACAAGCGGGGCGGCCGTGCCTCGGCTCTCCCTGCGAGCCCTCGCACTGCCTGGGCTCGTGAGGGATGGCAAGAGGGGGTTGGCCAGGACCCCAGAAATACCAAACCCAAGCATTTTCTGGGGGGCTGCATGCCCAGCACCTCTGGCCTGGGGTTTCTGCCTTTGCTGACCCAAGCACAAGGGCTCTGCCCTTGCTCTGATCACTGCTCCCCACTCAGCTGTGCTGGCCTTGGGTCCTGGGGGTGCAGAATTGGGTGCAAAAGGCCCAATTTTACCAGACTTTGACCAGCCAGGCACACAGAGGTTTTTTTGTGCACGGCCGAGCCTGGGGCTGTCTCTCTTGCAGGGCTGGACCTTGTTCCCCTCTGTGTGACGTTCCTCTTCTGCTTCTGGGAGGTGCAGTACGGCATTGTGGCCGGGGTGCTGGTCTCGGGGGTCCTGCTGCTCTACTCCATCGCCAGGCCCCCGCTGAAGGTGGGCTGCTCACCTCGCGTGGGTGCGCTGGGGCCGGCCAGGAGTGGGGAGCTCCCCGTGGCTCATCCCGGGGGTCTTGTGCAGGTGTCGGGGCAGGGCACGCTGCTGGTGCAGCCGGGGAGCAGCCTGCACTTCCCAGCCATCGAGCACCTCCGGGATGTCATCTGCAGCCGCGCTCTGTCAGGTACCGTGCCCCCGGCCACCGGTATGAGCTGGGGACTGGGCAGGGCTCTGGTGCCCACCCAGAGCACTTCTGGGGGAGGCAAGCACGGGCTGAGCCCTGCAGGCTGCAGCTGTAAGCAGGCACTGACCGGCTTCCCTGCAGCAGGGACTCCTGAGGTTGTCTCAGCCCTTCCAGCCATGTGTGGCTCGCTAGGGATGGGACCCGTGGTGGCCTGGCTGAGGCCAAATGCAGCTTTGGGCTGCCTGACCCGCAGGGCTGAGTCCTGCCCTAAGAGCTGCGTCCCCCGTGCTTGTTAATTCTGTGCTCGTCATGGGAAACGACCGCATGCTCTGCTTTCAGCAGCACCCTCACCGCGCTCCATCATCCTGGACGGCCACCGCATCAGCAGCATCGATTACACGGTGGTGGTGGGGCTGGCAGAGCTGCTGCAGGAGCTGCGCAAGCACGGCATCTCGCTGGCCTTCTGCAGCCTGCAGGTACGGGGCGGCCACGCGCAGCCCCAAAAGGGTCTGCGCGGGTGGGCTCAGCCCTCCCCACACCAGGGAGAGCCCTCGGGTGACACCAGCCAGCAGGGCCACTGCTCCCATCTCCTGTGCAAAGCAAGGATGTGGCCACCCTCTTGGTAGCACCTTCAGCTCACGGAGGTGGAGGTTGCAGCATCCGAGTGCAGCTGCAGGATGCGGGATGGGGGCAAAGGCTGCAGCTCCTGCACAGGCACACGCTGCCCTGGGCTGCCCGGAGGGCTCCGAGCCCCCAGCAGAGGGGAACCTGCTGGCTCCGGGCTCCCCAGCTGCAGTTTCTCTGCCCTCAGGACCAGGTTCTCCGAGCCCTGCTGGCTGCAGACCTGGAAGGATTCCGACATTTCCCCAGCTGGGAGGAGGCAGGTGAGGCTTCGGGCTGCCCGGCTGCGGCAGGATGCTCTCGGGGCTGCGGGCAGTTCGATTTGGGACTAGCACTGCATTAACTCTGCTCTGCTTTCCCCTTTCCGTGCTCAGAGCGGTGCAGCAGAGCGGAGCCGGGGGGCAGCGGGGCAGCCCCCTTCGACAGCACCAGCACCAGCGAGAGCTCGCTGCTGCCCACGGGGCTCATCCAGTGAGGCAGAGGAGCCGTGTGGGGCTTTCTCAGGACCACGTCTCCTCACCCGAGCAGCTGTTCCCGATAGCCCGGAGGCCCTGTGCAGGCAGGGCAGTGCCTGGCAGTGTGGGGGAGAGATGGCAGGGGTGGGGGAGTGATTCAGAGGGTTCCTATCGCTGCCCCCCCTCCATTCCAGGCTGGCCCCGTCCTGGGAGCAGCTGCCTTTTTAAATCGGGTGTTTTATTTTTGGAAACTTTTCTTACTCGGATCTGTTTCGAGCTCTGACACAGAGCGTGCTCTTGTCACCGTGAGTTTCAAGGATGCTGGAGCTGCCCTGCACGCCCAAGGCCGTGCTGCAGCTCTCAAGCTCAGGCTGCCAAGAAATAAAGAAAACATTGATTATTTTGCTTCTTACTCATCCCTCTTGGTCTGTGGGATTTTCTGCCGGACTCTGCCCTTCAGCAGGGCTGTGGCTGTCCTCCCACCTCTCGCCAGACTTCTGCCAGCCCTGCCAGGGGACAGCTGCTGTGCCATCGGTCTCTGCCTTGCTGTGAAATGGTGCTGCCAGACAGTGGGGTATGGGGCCGGGGTCCACAGCAAAGCAGTTTTCCTGCGCTGCAGTTGGCTGACCCCATCCCATACGGAGGGCATAATAAAACAGTAACAAAGGACCTGGTGTGCATCTCTGTCTTCCTTCAGAAAAGACGCTTTTGTGGGGGGGAGGAAAAATTAAGCTCTAATTTCTTGGTGCAGCTGAGCACAAACCAAAGAAATGAAACCGAAACCAAGTCTGCAGTTCCTGCTGTGCTCCCGCACGGTCAAAGGTTGTGCGGTGACAGTGGCAGTGCCTGGGAAGGCAGGGGGGGGGTCCTGCTGGTGGCCAGAGCTGCGTTTGTGCAGCAGAGCAGTGCCGGGCAGGGGGTTAGTTTGTCCCCGCAGTGGCAGCACAGGAGCCTTTTCCAGAAGCACTGGAAGGGCTCGCATGCCGCCTGCCTGCCCATCTCCCCCAGATGAGGAGGGAGCACCCCGGAGGAGTGGGTTTGGGGTGTTTCACCTCGCCCAGCCTGGCCCTTTGGTTGTGCTGCTCCACACACCCCGACGGGAGCTCGGAGAGGATCGGGGCAGGGAGGGGGAGCTCGGGGCCACGACGGCAGGCAGACCCCAAATTTCAGGCACGGAGGGAGGAGGGATGCCCCAAATTTCAGGCACAGAGGGAGGAGGGATGCCATGGCCAGGGCTGTGCCTGCAGAGCCCCAGCCCCAGGGTTCAAGCACCTCTCACTGAGCGTCTCCTCCGAGCACCTCGCAGCCCTCTGAGGGGCCGCACGTCCCGGGGCGCTGGGGGGGAGCAGCTCGGGAGCAGCGGGACCTGCAGGGGGCCGGCGGGGTGGGACGGCCGGGAGCGGACCGGGGACGGCTCCGGCCGGGTCCGGGGCGAAGCGGAGGGCGCGGGGCTGCGGCTGGGCACGGCCCGGTCCCCCCCGGAGCCCCCCGACGGCAGCGGGCACAGCTCCCGGCTGCAGCCGCGCCCCCGGCGGCACCCCCGGGCCCGGCGTTCCGGTGCCGCGGGTGATGCGCGGCCGGCGGCGGGGCGGGGCGGGAGCCAGGCAGGAGCCGCCCCGGGGCTGGGGGAGGCGGTGACCGGAGCTCCGTGCCCCCCCCGTGTCCCGCGGCGAGGATTGGCCGCACCGGGCCGGGGGCGGTGGCGGTGACGTCCCGCGGGGGAACCTCGGCTGCTCGGCGGAAAAACGAAACTTCACCGGGGAGGCGGCGGCGGAGCGGGTGCGAAGCGGGTCCCGGTCCCGGCCCCGGTGCCGTCGGTGAGCGCGGCCGCGGAGCTGCGTTGCTGGCGGGGCGGAGGGGGGGGGGGGGGGGGCTGGGTCGGGGCAGCGCGGCCCCGTGCGGGCGGGAGGCTGCGGGAGGGGGGGTCCCCGGTGCGCCCCGACCCCGCTCGTCCCCGGGCATCCCGCCCGGCTCCTCCCGGGGCGCCCCTATTCTTGCTCATCCCGGTTCCCCCCCCCCCCCCGGTGTTCCCCCCCGGCGGCACCCCCAGCGTCCCCCCGTTCCCCCGGCATCGCGGTGCCCGGCCCCCCACGTCCCCCGGCTCTCCTCCGGTGACTCCCCCGGTGCTCGCGGTCCCCCCCGATCCCTGCTCTTCCATCTTCGCCGGTGCCCCCCCCCCCCCCCCCCCGTTCCCCCTCCCGGTGCTCCCCCCCCCCCCCCCGATGCACCCGCTCTGTCCCGGCACTCAGCTCGGTGCCCGCCCCCGAGCACCCGGATCGGCCTGTACACAACTCCCCCTGTAACCCCCCCCGTACCCCTCGGGTTCGCCCCCGGTGCCCCCCCGGTGCCCCCCCCGGCGCCCCCCCGGTGCCTCCCCGGCCCCCCCCCAGTGCCCTCCCTGTGTCCCCCCGGTGCCCCCCCCGGTGCCCCCCCAGTGACCCCCCCGGTGCCCCCCCCAGTACCCCCCCAGTGACCCCCCCGGTGCCCCCCAGTGCCCCCCCGGTGCCCCCCCCCCGGTGCCCCCCGGTGCCCCCCCCGCCCCTCTGCGGCCCCGCCTCCTACCAGCCTCATTTGCATAGAGGCGGTCCCTCGCTACGCCATTGGCCCGTCCTCCCTCCTCATTGCATATCTTGGCGGGATGGGATTGGGGGGGAGGGGCTACCGACCCAGGGAGGCGGGGCCAGCGATGCCTCATTTGCATATAAGCCCCGCCCAGGGGACACCCCCCCTTCTCCGCCCGGGGGGTGCGGGCTGCGGGTGGGGGCGCGAAACCCCCGCACCTTCAGGGCCCCCAAGTGGGGAGGGGGGGGCTACGGGACCGTTATTGGCCGTTAACGCCTGCGTTTCTCCTCTTGCCCCGTCCTTTTCTCTGCCCCCCCCCCAGGAGCTCCCGGCGGCATGGAGCGCCACGAATGCCCCCAGGGCTCTGGGGACGGATCCGGTGCCTGCAGCGGGTGCGGGGCCCAGCCGGGCGCGGGGGCTGCGGGCACAGGTAGGGGGCTGCGGGCACAGGAGGGTAACGCTGAGGTAGGGGGCTGCGGGCTGGGGTGAGCTCTGGGTGCCACTCAGGGCTGTGGCTGGGGCTGTCCGTGCAGCCCTTGTGACACCCAGCCACAAGGTGGGGAGAAGCGGGGCCCCCCCCGGCACCCCCTGCACGTCTTCCGTGCTCACGTCTCCGGTTTCTGTTTCCCCAAGGAAGCGGTGCCGTTTTTATGCAATGCTCTGTTACACCAAGCAATCGAGACCCTTTCCAACCAGAACTTGCCATCTGTAGCTTGCTGTTAGGTTTGTCAGAATTGGTTTGACCACACGCTGATTTTGCCCCTGCAAGCAGTGACAGAACCACGCACGCAGACTTAGTGCAGAGGAAATACTCCCAAATCCTTAATTTGCCTAGAGAATGACCCAGGCCACCAGAAGCTCATTGGGCTGGGTGCAAAGAAGATGCTAAATCAGAACCAGCCTGCTGTAGTCCTGACAAGATCAGTTCTTTGCCGATCCCTCTGCAATCCAGAAAGTCAAAGTAACAAACCCCAGACCTCCAGGTCTTAAATGCTGTCAGACAAAATGCCCAGAGTATCTGTTCTGTTCGTTCCAAAGCTTTGTACCTGCTTCTGTAAATGACTGAAGGTGGTGGAAAGAGTTCTAGTGTATCACCAGGGAGTTCAGCAAACTAAATGATGGAGCTTGACCTGCAAACAATACAGGAGTCACTGAGGAGCAGGAAAAGCTCAGAGAAGAGTTTAAAGCCTTCACATAATGACGTGACGGTAAATTGGATGTGAAACAGTATTGCAAAGGGTGGTGCCTGCTTCAGGCAAAAGATGACCTTCTGTCATTAAACGTGTTGCAACCTTTGGTCTGTAGAACTCAAAGGGACAGTGAACTGACCTTCACCTTGATTTTTGTGCTCATACTTCCAAAAATACCCTGAGGAAATCAGTGTCGTTTGGTATTAGTTGATCTCCTCTCAAACTAAGTGTGGAAGCAGTGATGAAGAGCTTGCGAAACGATTTTATAGACAGGAAAGATCTACTCTGATGACTTATTCAGGTCTGAGCTACATTTTCACAGAAGCTTTTAAGGACTGGATTAAGCTTTTGAAGAGGAACGGTGAGTTTTCCCATTCCTTCCTGGATGTGATGCTCAGCTGTGTGATGGAGGTCACAGCAGCCAGTCATGAGAAGGGTAAGAAAGCTGAGAAATGCCAGTGCCCTGTCACCACGCATCTCAAGGATCCTGGCGTATCTTGACAGGCAGCTGAGGTTCACGGTGCCTGCTGCTTCAGCCAGTAGCGTGTTAGCTGGAGGCTGGATAGAGATAGACCACGAGCCCAGCACAATGTTTTCTTACTTTATTTATTCGCCTACCAATTGCAGGGGCTTTGGAGACAGGCCTGCTATGGAAGGAGGATGGTGTTATTGCTACTGGTAGTTCTTAAACATGGAACAAAGCAGCTCTTGTGTCTTCCGCTGATGCGTTTATTCAGTGGTAGACCCTGCTTGCTCGCCAGTGGCCAAGAATTGTTTTCCTTCCTGACTCTAATTTAACAATGAACTTTACCTCCATTGCAGAAAGAGGAGATGTGAAGCTCACTCCAGACTCTGATACAGGAGCAGAGCCTAAAGGAGAGGTGAAGGGAGAAGGTGCTGATGGGCCTTGTACTCCTGAAACAAAGGAGGAGGAGGGAGGACTGCTGCTGGAGGACGTAACAGCTCTGAGCAATACCTCAGAGACTGCGCCTGAATGTGGTGCTGATGGCACTTCCATTACTGAAACAACGGACGATGAAAAGGAGAAGGAAGAGGGAGCATCACTGCTGGAGGGCAAAGCAGCTCCAAGTGACATCTCAGAGACCTCACCTCAGGGAACTGCAGACGTTTCTGCCAAAAAATCACAGAAGGTAAGGCTTTTATCAGTCCTCCTCCTTGCACAACAACCTTGTCGTGCTCTCTTTCCTGAAGTAAGAGATTGTCCTGCATCATCACCAGTCCCTTTGGCCTGTATCTAAATACCACTGGCAGTCTGTTCCGAGGCAAACTGTCGATGTATTTGCTTACATTGCATTGCATATGCAGACAGCTGGTGTGCTGAGCAGTACAGCTTCCCCAACAGTACCTTCGCTACATTGAGGGTAACAGCATAAAATTCTCATTACTAACTGGTCTAATCTTGTTAGTGAGCATCATGCTCAGAGCTGCTCTGCATGCCTGCTGAAAAAGTTTTGTAAATTAAAAATACAGAATTCTCAAGAGCTGTTTCATCAAATGTGTAATATTGTAGCTGGTTTTGTCCTTTCTCTTCATGGTCATATACTAGTTGCTGTGGAGGGGGTGACAACTTCTCAGTAATGAAGCAACTGGTATTTTATTGTCTTATTTCTTTTTATTGTTATTATTACAGAAAAAGAGGAATAAAGCAAAGAAAATTCCTTCTGGCTCTGAGGAACAGAAGTCTCCGCCTTCTCTAAGCACAGCACCAGCTCAAACTGCAGAGATGTCTGATGCACAGAAAATCCAAACACCAGGCAGTGAAGTAGCCAAACCAAGTTCTGACTTCCTTGCTGGTGACAACAGAGGTGCACTTGAAAACAGGTGGTGTCTCGGGCCAGTTGGGAAAGGAAGCTCCAAGTCTGGAAATGGTTGCAGAAGGCAGTCACAGCAGTGAAG